CGCTGCAGCTAGTTTTAATATATTATGAACATAAACTGCCTGTATGTGCCCTGGCAAACTAGAAGCTTGCGATCGTAACATAGATTGTAATGTCGCCAAAGGATCTTCCAATTCACTGTTTAAATTTAACAAATTATTAAATATTTTATTATATATCGAGATTACATATCGAGACCGACTATTTTTAAGGAAATTCTTATTACCTAGAGAATTCTCCACAAATCCATGCTGCTGCATATAAAACCTCGGACATTGTAGCCCTTGGCTGGCCGGTCAATAGATATGAATTCTCAAGTAGTAAGGCACATTGTTGAACCGCATATTTTCGTATAGCTTGTACACGAATTGCTACATCAAGTAATTGAGTCGCTACTAATGGTCCATGCTTGGTGCCTTCCATTCGTGTAAGTTCTACCAATACAGATATGTACCTGCAAATATACAATATATACAATTTAATATACTATAATTTATAGAGAATAGATTTAACACATCGCATAAATGTGATATTTACCACTCAAAATAGGTAATAAACTGATAGTTGTTCTGTGAGCAAATCTGAATAATTTTTGAGAGCAATTCATCACGATAAGTGGTGCCTTCAGCTTTGTCCATATGTACCATTAATTTTTTAACTATCTCCATTAGATTTTTCTTGGAAACCATTCCATACAACAAATCCAAGGCACGCAGTCTTATACTTTCGTCTTTATCGTCGAGACATTGCATAATAAGATCTTTGTGAGCTTGCACACTTTTTGGATGTGTTTTTAATATTTTCGACATTGCCAATAATCCCAAGTACTTTAAATTTTGGTCAGAATCCTCTATCAGTATTCTCAATTTCTGCACACACAACTGTATCGAATCGGAATGATTCGGCATACCAGAGGATATAGAAATCAATACAGCTATTACTGTATTGATACATTCATACAATAAGGACATTGCAGATGTACTAGAAAAGTTATTATAGTATTATATTATAAATATAGATTAAAAGTTGATTTGAAATAAATCAATAATACTAAATTATAAATAGATTAAAAGTAGAAATCAATAATATTAAACTATAAAACTAGTAATATAAAAAAAATATAGGCATATTGCAAAAGATGAACAAAAAAAGTTGGGATAAACATAAAATAGATATAAGAGATAAGATCTCTATATGTTATGCAAATAATAACAACATTACAATGCTTTAGTATAAAATACATTAAATACCTGTGTATCAAATTAGTAAGGGGTTCTATTAATTTTTTGCCAAGCCTAGGTTCTAGAGGTGTCAATGCTCCAAACTGAAAATACAATGTTACATTGCATTCTAAGAAATACTAAATTTTAGTAAATTTTTTTATACAAATAGTAATTTAATTTTCTTACTTTATGTGAATAAGTGAAATATATGAAAACTAATACAAATACTTTATACACAAAATACAATACATATAAATAAGATTCAATGCTACAAAATGCTTATTAATACTAATTCATTACTCTCAATATGTATTTAAATTGCACATAAATATATAAATACATAATGTACTTATATTTTATAAATATATAAAATTTCACTATATACATAAAAAAAATTATATAAAACCTTGAAATCAGATCAATTAATGGTTGAGTAAGCCGTCGACCCAGCTTTGGTTCAATGAGAGTTATAGTTGAAAACTGAGTATGACAAACAAAAGCAATATTGCTTACAATAACAAACAAATATATATATATATATATATATATATATATAAAATATATATGTATATAAAATTTTGTACTTCAGATTATTATAACAAAATTATTATAAAAAAATAAAGCTACAAAAATGTGATATGTGTTTCGTATTTGCCAAGAACATGTAAAAAATATTGTCAGTCATCAATTAATCTTGCACAATGATAATACTCACCAATTTGATAATCTTGATGAGCATCCAATTATTTGTAGAAGTTGTCATTAGCTTAAAAAAAACAGGTGCCAAGCTCAAATAATTTTTTGGATTTTTTCTGGCTAATTCGCAAACTACATTTACTGCTGCACTTTGAACGCCACTGTCTGGATCTTCGAGTTTTTCTTTCAGCCTTGGAAAAGCTGGTCTCAAGGCCTCAGGAAATCTCAAGAATACTTTATACATCATCAAGACTGCCTTCTTGCGCAAGTATGGTTTTGTAGAGGTCAATAATGTCATTATGTCATGAACCAAATCTCGTGCTAGATCTGGACTAATAAAGCAAGATAAGCCGCTCAGCGCTAAGCCAGCATCATACTGGTTTTGGCTATTTAAATCTTTACGAATCATATTTGTCGTTAACATTAGTAGCTATAACAGAAAACATTAACAAATTATAAAATGGCATTTTCCCTATATCTTTAACAATTTTCGAAGTACATTGTACACTATATATATATATATATATATATACATAAATCATATATAATTTTTATTTATAATCATGTTATCATGCTATTTATAATCATGTCATCTGTTATCATCAATTGCTTACAGTCTATAAATTTATTTAATTTTAAATTGATGAATATATAAATATAGGGGATAATATATAATCACACTACAAAGAAAATTATAGGGGAGAAATAATATATAATAATATATAATATATAATCACATTATAAATAAAATTATAGGGGAGAAATAATATATAATCACACTATAAATAAAATTATAAGAAAAATAGATATATAAATGAACATGCCTGAGGAAAATCTTCGTAAGTCTAAAATATACATTAAATAGATTTTATACCTCTATATCTGCATGAAAACTCTGACTTGCAGCAAGATAGCCAATTCGTTTATAAGTAAACTTTGCCGATGACATCACTTCTATTATATTAAAACCGGCCCAACTGATATCATATCCCAGCATCTGAAGCTGTAGGATATAAGAATTGATTAACTTTACCAATGCTTGAGATAAATTGAATTAAATTGAACACTAATAGATTCTTACATATGTTAACTTGGCCACAGCGTTTGCTTTGACCGCCACATTATCTTGTCTCAATTCTTGCTTGATCTCTTCGATGCATTGCGCGATGTACTTCGCCTAATATAGGAAATTATAAACTTTCTTTATGCCAGATAGAATAGATTGCAAAATGAAAGGTGGAAAAAAGGTTAGGTTAGGACGTGATAAAAATTTCACCAAGAGAAATCGCAAAGCAGAGAGAAAAGATCACCTCATTTTCCTTGTTGTTTCTGATCCCACGCACCAGATCCGTCAGATTCTTATCGAACATTCGTTCAAAGTTGCCCTTTACCTTGCGGAGTGCCATGACCGCATTTAAAAAAAATTAAATGCCTTGCTCGCACGATATCACTTTGAAGGAACCCTCCTTTCGCGCATCGGTGAGACTCGTCTCGACTCAATCGGGCGCAGTCCTGATTAATGAATTACAATTAATCGAAATTCGTGAGCATATCCCAATCACCCGTCTTACATTCACATCTTTTGACAGATCGGGGCTGGATGAGAGAGGAGGGCTACTCGGAAAAGCATATCTAAGAAATGTGTCAAGAGAGTAGACAAACACCTAACTAGCGCACATTCACTCATCGAGTATGTAATTTTATCGACGTGTGCAACTCTGTTGCAATTTTTGGTCGCTTCTACGCTAATAGTCCAATTCTCGCAACCAAGATCTGTGAAGTAAATATCGCAAAATTTGATATGTATATTCTTAGTTGATTAAGGCTGCGGTCGGGAAGGCGCTCTGGATGCTTTGAAATATCATTCTATCTTTGTTCTACATTCCATGAGAATAAAGATAGAATGATATTTCAAAGCATCCAGAGCGCCTTCCCGACCGCAGCCTAAATGAATAAATTACGAAATATGATTCGAGAATTTTCGTCGCGATGTGTATATAGATATTAATTAATTATGTGTTATTTATAAAAGTTAATTAATCATATAGTTATAATAAATAATTTTTGATGTTGATCGCGATCGTATCTAAAAAAGAAATTTAACGGTATATCATTATATTACTCATTAGAAAATATTAGACAATAACATAAAATTATATAAATCATTTCATAATCGACATGCAGATATTACAATGCTATCTGCATCTGATTTATACATATAATTTCATATGTTATTGTCTAATATTTTCTAACGTGTAATATTAATATGCCACGTTGAAGGTGGAAAAGGTTAAAAGACGACACAAAATGTTTAGTGCATGTATTGTGAGTAATTTAAAATATATTAATAATTTGAAATATATTAATAATTAAAAGAAAAAGGAAGGTTTTTTCTCGTGCTCCAATTACGGCGCCTTTTACTGGCATTTAGTTGTCAATTGTTTAATTAATTTTTAATTATTATTATTTGAGCCAATTCTTTATTTTAATTTTAATATTTATAGTATTTAATATTTAGAAATAAATTAGAATATTTTTTGTGTTATAATTTATTTTCAATGACGAATCGTTGTGATAAAAACTATACTAAATTACGAGTAGTAATGGCGGTGAGATGATGAATGATGATTAATATGTAATAATATCGGATAATATATTTTAATAACAAATATATTTAATAGAAAAAGAGAGGCCACATAAAATTTATTTATATTAGAAATTTATTTAATATACATATATGCAAAATGTTTTGCGTCACAACACTTGTGTTATCGACATTTCGTAGCATGGAACACAACCCGAAATTGTATGTTACCCACTGAAAACATTCGTAGATATTGGCTTCGTAGTTCATGTTCACGTTTTATGTTTATAGAGGATGCTTCGCTTTCAGGGATCACCTAAAATTGGATCATGACATCTCTCGTACACTGCGCGACAACGATTCGTTCCGTGGTCCCTCTCTCGTGGGGCAAGGGGAGCGTAGAAGTGACCAATCAGCTGGCAGCGTGGCAGTGGCTGATTGGTTAGAGGCCACGGAATGAATCGTTGTCGCGGAGTGTACTTCTCTCTGTAAATACATAACAATGTGAGAGACCCTCGGCAATTCATACGTCGCATGTCCATACACACACGCTCGACCGTTCTTTGTATTGACCCACCCACACTTCCGTTCGTCGAACGTTCGTCTCAGATTGCTCTCAACTTTCGCGACCGACATCGTCGTCGGAGGAGACAAAGGGCCAAGTCGAGCGTCAAATATCCTGTACCTGACTCGTCTTGTTGTCGAGTATCGTCGAGAATCAACGGATCGATCATGCGACAGCGCGTATCGCGTTTCTGTGCGACGCGAGGTCGTCTCGGAAACGCAGCGCCCTAAAGAAAGGAAAAGGGATCCGCGAGCGAGGCCGGACGGGACTTGTCAGACTGATCTCGTAGTCGTTTCGCCTGGGCATCACTGGAGGCATATACGGTACGACAACATCCTGGCATATCCCGACCAAGTACCACGAAGTTGAGAACCGCCCGATTTTGTTTGAATTAAATAATCCCTTATCTTTCTCTCTCTCTTTGTACGTTCGAAAAACTTACATGATGAAAAGGGACGTTACTCGCGTCATGTGCTTGCTCTAAAATTCGATACGTTGTACATGTCATGAGACATGTTAAATTTTTATCTCGATGTCTCTCGAGAGATCTCGTTATGTCGTGCAAAAACTCATCAGCTGTGATATTAGTTAATTAACATGTAGCGATAATGTCCCCCAAGTTTTATTATTTGACAAGGAAACTTTTACCTTGTCCATCATGTATGTGTACACAAGTTACAATTATATATTATAACTATAGTTACATATTTTAGATATACTTATCTTACAGATAACTTATGACAGATGAATGTTGTAACAATGACTTCGGGTTACTTTGATCTGCCAATTAATATGGACAGAGTATGCAGGATTTGTCTCACCGAGGGTAATAATCTATCGCCAATCTTCTCCGCTAATCAAGATGTAAACAATTACTCAGGTCTCCCTCAAAAAATACAAGTCTGTGGTTCCATTGAGATACACGAACAGGATGGATTACCTTCCTTAATATGCGACACTTGTATTTATAACGCGACCGTTGCGCTCGAATTCAGACAGCAGTGTCAACTTTCCGATGCAAAATTACGCGCATACTATAATAAGCCCGCCAAATGTAATATTACGGTAAATATCATTTTGTAATTGTATATATCTGTTGACATATACAATATACATAAATATGTATCATTTTCTAGCATTCTTATACACAGACGGATTTACAAACGAGATTTCTACTATCAAAAAAGTCAGAACATATTGAAGAAGATTATTTTGTGAAACAAGACATGGAAGTGGTGGCAAATCCACAAGAGTACATTCAGTCCACCGACTCATTTTCCAGAGGCGAAATCAGTTTAAATACCAATCAAATTCATATGTCAGATGACAAGCTATTTATATGTTCTATCGGATTTGAAGGGAGTAAAGAGGAAGTGAAGGATTCTTGTATATCAGAGAACGAGGTTCATCAGATGACAATAGTACAGGAAGATGCGCAAGATGCATCTAACATTATGAATATAAATAAAGATGAAACCAAGGAAGTTGATCAGTACATAGAGAAAGACAATACAGAACAAGAGGAGTTTGTTAATGAGGACATACCCAATGAGAATATCGAAGAGGAAGAGAGCATTCCGCAAAAACGTACGTCCATGAGAAAAACGAAATTGGCGTCGACCAAGACATATAGCGACGATGACATCGGCGACAATTATTACGATGTCGAGCCGAGCAGCGACAGTCAAGATTCAGTGGAGTCGAAATTTAAATGCAAGGTTTGTTCCAAACAATATGCTACACAAAAAGGTCTAAAGAAACATTCGCTGGTTCACGAGAAAAAGTACAAATGTAATGTCTGCTTGAAAATGTTTTACAAGCAGGAAAATATGGAGAGCCATCAGAAGATACACGCATCGAAGCCGCATGCGTGTCAACTCTGTCACGCATCATTTTCGAAACCCCAAAGTCTCGTGAGGCACCTAAAATCTCACACAGAAAAGGTAAATGATATGATCAAACAGATCAATACGAATGAGCGAAAGGATAATAAGGAACCGAAGAAGGAGCTCAAGAGCGAAGACGACACTGACGATGAGACCGGACCTGCAAACGAAACGGATGAATTCGAGAACGCGCCCGAGTTGTACAAATGTGAGATTTGTAATCAATATTGTTCATCTCTGAAGAACCTGAGGAGGCATGCCCTCGTGCACGGCGATAAAAAGTACTCGTGCACCGTATGTAAAAAATGGTTCTTCAGGCCGGATACGTTGAAGAAACACGCGGAGAAGCACGGGCACGGGTTGTTGGACAATTTGGCAGACGACAATAAGTTGTACGATTCGGATGACGACGATGTGCCCGCTAATAACACGGTGGATCCCGTGCCGGAGAGCGAGAACGTGAAGAGAGAGGAGAGCGATGAGGAGGGGTCCGGAGAATACAAGTGCCAGCACTGCGACAAAGTCATGGCTACCAAAAAAGGTCTGCGACGACACGTGTCAATGCACAAACCAAAAGCTGAACCCGTGACCTGCGACGTCTGCAGAAAGGTCTGCGCCAGCCAAGCTCGTCTCATCCTCCATCAGAGAACGCACAAACCGAAGGAGAAGGTTCCGCGTGAATATCTGTGTCACATCTGCAGTAAGGTATATCCCAGCAACTCGTCCCTCACATATCACATGCGAACTCATACCGGCGTCAAGCCGCACGTGTGCAAGACGTGCAATAGTGGCTTCACGACGACGACGAGTCTGGCAAATCACATTCGCATTCACACGGGCGATAAGCCGTTCGTATGTCACGTGTGCAGTGCTGCGTTTGCCGTAAGTTCGGCCTTTCGCAGACACCTGACCCGGCACACCGGCGAAGCGAATTATCTGTGCAAGACGTGCGGCAAGGCTTTTAAGCGACTCAGTACACTCAAGGAGCACACGTACACTCATTCTGGTGAGAAGCCGTACGTGTGCAAGACATGCGGCGCCGCGTATAGTCACAGCGGCAGCCTCTTCGCGCATCAAAAGCGTTGCCGTGCTCAATACGGCGAAATGATCGTTGAAGATCACAATCATCATCATCACATATCGCACTCGGTCGCTCATATTCACGTGAATATGAATAACGTAAATAATGGGGCGGGAGTGCGACCAGTTGCTGTGATAGGTCAAATGTTCTAAGAAAGCCGTGTGTTGTATAAACTTTTAATGCCTTTGGCGAATAATTGTGACAGAATGCTGCTAAGCAGTTGTAAATGCTATGTGTTGAAACAACAAGTGTGCGCACATATAGAATTACATGTCATCTGTAAATATACGTACAGCTCCTTTTTTTGACTGATGAGAGAAACATTCTTTGAGTATACCTTGCACTTACAAGGCTGTTGCATGCTAGTGTTTTGCTTTTAGAAACAAATCAATGGTATCATTGAATTATATAAATATAACAACATTGATACATTTTATGAAGAAAAAAGTTTTCCAAGTAATAAATTGCCATTATTAAAATCGCGAATTATTTTTTTATTATTTGTAATTTCATACATATGAATGTATGGTATGAATGTATGGACGCTGCGCATATATATCGTGTGTGTATACACACACGCACACACACATACATATATATTTTTATACTACACACACACAGACACACACACAATCCAGACTTGGTTGTACCATATATTACATAATAATTTTTTGTGTTACTGCATTATTTAGAAAGAAATAATTTGCTTTCCCTTTTTTCTTTATCAGATTAATGATTTATTTGGCCTATAACTTCTTCATTCATATAATAATAAAGAGATTGAAAAAGAAAATATGTAGGTTTTGATGAGAAAAATTGTATCTTGAAACTCATTAAAAGTGGATATTTTGTTTTAAATTAAAAAAAATTTTAAATGAAATGATGTGAATAAATATAATTACAAATTTTTTATAAAGACATATACAAAAAATGCCACATGATTAATTAATCGATTCTTAAACTATCCAACAATTTCAATAATTATGATATGTGCACACATAGCGATGCTAGAAGTATAATATTGGATACACAATTTCTGAACTGTAGTTGTCCGATAAATAACAACTGGATGAAAGAGACAAGAAACAACTTTTAATTAATCTTTCATTTAAAATTAATAATTAATCAGTTCGTTCAGCCATCAAAATGCAAATCATAAAAAACGATCGATAATCATACTTATTCATTCTATATAAATTTATGTATACATAACAAGAAATTACTCACGTAAAAATACAAAATGTTTACAATTATTGCTCGGATTATCATAAAAATTAGTCATATTTTTTTATCTTAATAAAAAAAGATATACATATATTAGATCTAATAGACTGATATATTTTTGTAAAATAAAATATTCATTTTTGAAAATCTAATTGAAAAGACAAATTCTGCTTAAAAATATTCAATGAAAACATATTTCTTTGACAAAGTCTAAAGCATATTAAAGTTTATACTTATTTAGGCTTTTAATAAATGGATAATTAGATTAGAGAATGACTTTATAAACTGAAGAAAAATAAATGAGGAATGTACAAATATACATATATAGCGAGACTGATTCAATTTCATTTAAATATTTAATGATATATAAAGCTTGTAAAAATCTTATTCTCTAAATGATAGTAAAGTAAAGTATGATAAGTAAAGTAATATTTGTATTTTAAAAACCTTAGCTAGTATTATCAGTTTACTACATTTTTTTATATTGATAATATATAAAAATATTATTCAGTCCATAATTCTTGTCACAATATGGACCTGTCTTATACAATTAAGTGGCTTTTTAAAATTAAAAATATATTTATCCAAATTTTTTGCCAGCCTATAAAATTGTTTCAATATATCATATATTCATCTATGTTATAAGAACTTGTATTAGAAGCTATACTTCTGAATGTAAGTTATTTCAGCTATAAATAATGTAGCAGAAAAGTTAAGGATAATATCTCTCTCACAGGATATAAAAAATCATATAAAATAAAATGAGCTAATAACAAACAAGAATGCATCTAACCATATGGCAAGTATTTTGCACTTGATTTATTAGTTATAAAATATTGAATAAAAGTACACTATATACACTATATACATTTAAAAATGCCATAGATTTTCTATTATACATATAATAATAAAACAATTTTTGTAGTGCCATTTAGATAATATGGTCGCTATTGAAATCTGGTAAACAATAATTTTTGAACATCTTTTTTTTGTATAAAATATTTAGTTTTGAAACATATGTAAAATAAGATTTATTTAATAAAAATTATATTTAACAATAAATTGTAGAAGTATGTTTTATAAAACTGTTATATTTTTAATTTCTTGTATGCATTTGTGTGTGTATAAATATATATGTACAAATACAATACATTCTATTTTCTTTTACTATACAAAACTTGGAAAGTTTTTCATTGGCAAATTTATCTTTTTGTATGCAACAATATATCAGATAAACAAATTGTTTGGGTTTTTTTTTTAAGAACCATATATGTATAATTTCTTGTGTATATTAATCTCAATTAATTGTCAATGTAGGATTATTTTTTACATATATTTCAAGAGTTTATATTTTATTAAAATATATATATGTAAATACAAGAGAATCTTATAAAAAAAATGTATAAGGCACTGCAAATTCGGATACATATTACAATTTTATAAGAAATTTCTTTTATGTATTAAAAAATATCAATTATTAAAATATTGATATATTTGTATTTATCACACACTGCAAGTAAATTAAAAATAAACCAATGAAGTACATTTTTGTTACATAAACAATAATATTTGCAATATCTAATAATATCTAGGAATTTTTAACTTTTCTATTTTTTTTCAATATTCGATAACGTCGCCAAATTGAATTTCTTGTTCTTCGGAGAACTTTAGCCAAATCAACATATTTGCGTTTCTCATCAAGAGAAGGGTTATTTTCTAAGTGATCTATAATCATTTGATCTTCTTCAGGCTTATACCTAGAAATTTTAATTAAGAAATCAAAATACTGACTGCTGCTATTCTTATGAAAAAATAAAATAATTTACATATATATTTGTTATATATTTACCTTCTATGTACATTATTTTCATTTAAATTTCTAAATCTATGGTAGACACTGTATAAAGTTCTATTTGGTAAACCATCAGCTAAAAATTGTACAAATTTTCGCCTTTCTATAGTATTACGCATATATGTTACTCTGCCACCAATTCTTAATTGTAAGAATGGATGAACCATTTCTACATCCCAATTATGTATCTATTTCAAAATTAATGTTATAGGAAATTTCTGCATTTGATACGAGTGTGTATAATTGAAAATTTAAATTTATATATATATATTTGTTAAAAGATATTAGAAGAAAATTATTTTTACATACAAACCTTACAAAATGCATTCCAATTATCATTGATGATAGTATCTTCCTCAATAGAGTATAAGCCTTTCTTGATTGGTACTATTTTCTTAAACTTTTCTATTTCCTGTCTTGTTGGCATATGAGATCCCGCACGTGTTTCAATCTCGTGTTGCGGTGGTACTGTATGCCTTAGTTGCACACATAAATTATACAATTTCTGCAACAAAAAATAAATATACAGAATTATATTCTACTTATAAAGATTTTATTACATTGAATTTCTTTCAAAATTATTACTATTAAGTCTGATTGACATAGTTTTTCTGCTGATGCCATTTGTCGTGCTAAATACGTTGCATCGCTACAATATTCCTCTTCCACACTTTCATTCTCCGACTCAGTTTCCTTATAAGTATTTTTATCTTTCATCTCTATATTATCATCAATATCTTTCATTTCATGTTCCATTCTGATACTGATAATCGCTAATAACAATTTTTCCAATTTAATTATATTAGTGATTTTAAAATTATTATTATAAATAAATAAATACTAATAAACATAAATACTAAACGAAACATAGTTCAATTTCCATTTAAACATGTATTACATCAGCAACAATTTGTTTATCATAATTTGCTTTCAGGTTATGAGAATAATATTAGGATATTATTCAAGAACTCTTTGTATAATTAAATATTACGATAGTTGAATATTATTAGATTATTTTTATAATATTTAAAACATTTAAAATCACAAATTTCCACAAATATACAAAAGGTCGCAGAAGTTTAATCGCGTTACAACTTTCACGTGCGTAACATTAAAAAAGTGTAATTAAAATTATAATTTCCAAAAAACTAAATTTATTCTATCAATATAATCTTACCATTATATGTATATTACCTTTTGTGTATGTACGTAGACTTTATTAATAATATTTTTTGACATTTAAATAAGATATTAAAACACCTTTAAGGTTATTATTTTCTCAACACACGATTATGAGACAGTGCTTTTTTCAATTCAAAATGTTAAAATTATCTAGGTATTTAATTTTCCTGAAGGTGTCGGAAATGTTCGTACTTTCAAGATTTTTGGATACATATCAACTATCTAGATATTTACGCGTGACTGTCTCAGTGTACCGATCAGGGATTCCGTGCGCGCGCATACGCGGTTCTGCTTTGTTGTTTGTTTTATAGATTTTAAAAATGGCTTGTCGTATGCTACATATTTAGAGTTGTAAATAATTTGATAAAAAATGTTCAATCTATAAACAATGGTAACGCAAATGAAATATATCATTGTCTCTAAATCATTATATGTAATTAACATATAATGTGTATTTAAAATTAATTTATCAATTTAACTCCAATAAAATTATGAAATTTTTTTCAGGTATATTATTGTTTAATATTGTTTAATTTATTGCTTGTCAGTCATTCACATTTATTAAAAATAGTCACTTTATTAAATAATAGAGAAACTCTATATTTTTTGCGAATAGTAAGTAGAACTTTTATGGATATAGCATTTTGATAATAGTTTATATTTACAGTAGAAAATAATTTGTATTTCACTGTGCTTTTGTTCTATAGGACCTGAAGATGAATTATGAAAGGGTGTGACAAGTATCAGTAATGCAGGAAGACGCAGAGATAGAGCAAGAAGAGTAGTGAAAAGAGAAAGCTACTAAATAAGGAGCAAATTATTGGCATGGGAAAAATTCCGATACAATTTCCTGGTCTAAACACTCCTGTGTTTAGAGGAAAAGAATTAATTCAACAGCAAAAACTGCTTGTAAATCTTGAAAGAAAGCAAAAACTTATGGAATTACCACAAAGTCAGACCAGACCAATGCAAATAAAATTGTCGCCATTGGAATGTGGTTGGACGAGTGTTACAATGGATGGCAGAAGCATTGAATCAGATCTTATTGGAAAAGGTTAATATTTATGCTATTATTGGATTATAATGATTAAATCACACACATACAAAAATCATGTGATACGATGTCTATTTTCAATTTTTTTTTGATGTTTCAGTTCTAAATATTAGAATCTTATATAATTAATATCTTTGTTTTCTGTAGATACATTTGAAAGTTTTGAAACCTGGATTTTGGAAAACAAAATGATAACTTGTATGACCGGTAATTTAGCACGTAAGACTAGAATCAGTTCATTTATAGTAACTGGAAATGGAAATGGATTAGCTGGATTTGCGTTATCAAAAGCCAAAGCATCCCTAAACACGGTTAAAAATAGGGCTGGTCAAAGACTAATGTATATTCCTACATATAAGGAATACACTGGTAAGAAAATAATTGTCAATACTATATAATATAAAATGTATTTCTTCTCTTTTAATATCACTTTGTATTTTTCAATGTTACATGATTTCTTTACACAGTTTGAGAATATAAAAATATTTGTAAAGAAAATTCATGAAGGATAATGGGCTTGTTTATCATCATGCGATAAAAGCGTGTTGCGAGATAATTGGCATAAAGGATATGTATGCCAAAGTACAAGGAGGAATGTAAAAGCATTCTTTATTGGTTTATTGCAGCAGGTATGTATATAAAGTATTTAAAGGCATATTATATAATACTTTTTATTTAATTTATATTAGAAAGAAACATTTTTTATTTATAAAAATATATATATACATATATATATATATATATATATATATATATATATATATATGTGTTAGACATAAAGCTAAAAAAAAACGTGGATTGTGTCGATTAATTAATTAATTGTTTTATTTAATTATCAATTTATATATGTATATTATTAACAATAATTTTTTGTTTACTTAAACTATAAGGTATAAGGTTGTACATAAGAAACAATCTTTTTTATTTAGTATTTCAAGCATATTTTTATAGAACTTTAATTTAATTATTCTATTATTAAAAATATTGAACAAAATAAAGAATTAAAGCTTGCTTTCTCTGCAGTCTCATGGCAGATTATATCAGAAATCATACTTTAATTAAATATATCATGAAACAAATCAATCTCAAAATAATGGAAATATTTGCAGAAATATCAAATATGTAATGTAAATATTTTAATTTTTTTGTATGCGATCTATTTTTTATTCTATCGATGTTTTCATAGTGATGCACCTTGAGCACTTTGCTTCATATGTTTGCAATAAAAATATATTAAAGCAAATTATTTTGCAAATTTATTATTCTAATTTTTATTTAGAAAGACTAAGATTAAAAAAGACGTATGCATTTTTTTCAGATATTTCTATTGAAAAAAACGCATCAGATAAAACTTTCCTGTACATTTTAAATGCGCCAAAAGATTTGCTCTTTATTCCACTTACTGCAATAATGTACACTAAAAATGACAGATCTATATTAAAAATGATAGATCTATATTTAGTAGTTGGAAAGAAAGAGAGGAGAAATGAAAAGTGCATCTAGAGAATTTAAAAGAATAAAAATCTAAAAATAATAATACATAAAAATTAATATTATGTATTTTTTTCATGAGGAATGTGGGGCGCACATTTATGCATTTATTTATTTGGATGACATTTACTTTAGAGCACATTCAGTATTCAACTTTAATTTTATTTTCTCTTTCTTATGATATATAAGTATAATATAATTACCTGCAAATGCTATCACTTTGTGTGCTTACAGTGATACAGAAGCAACATTACAAGTACTATATTTACAGATAACATCTGTATAATAAAAAAAGCACCAAAAATCTAATGATGAAAAAAGGATAAATATTGTAGACCAGAATAAGTATCAACCAATTATTCCACCGCTCTGTTTCATTAGAGTTGCAATTTTTTTTTATATCATAAATATTATAAATAAGATAAAGATTTCCGTACGTTTCAAATAAATTTATATATTTTATGTATGTAATACTGCGCACACATATTAAAAGGTGATAATATCGCAGTTATAATAAGATACGATCCTGGCATGTAGTGATTTTTGGATCCTACTTAAAATAATTTAATTTGATTTATTTTTGAGAAATGCGCACAATACTTGAGAACAAATTATTTTTGTGCCATGTATTACCTGTGTAAAATTCCACACACAGTATCATATTGTCTGCGACATATGAAAAGCTTCATCGATGAAATATGATTGAGATATAAGAAAAGTAATATAGTACTTGTAATGAATAACGTTAATGTGGAATACATAAATATTTTATATTTTAATTTCATATAATCAAGATGAGATAAGACACTCATGATTACTTTAAAAATGTGTCCACAAATATCATGTAACTTCAACAGCTGCACATTCGTCAAATTAATCCTATTACGTTAAATGAATCACAGCAGCTTGTTTTAATTTAATCTAACCTAATTATACCCAATTAAATTATATGCTTCTCATTAAAATGTGTAAAACTGCACATTTAATACGATTAATATACTACATAATAAAATGTAATACACTAATGAAATAATTAAATATTATTTTTGAAAGCATGATAAAATCCAGGCAGCATACGCTTGCGTTTACATTCGACATCCAAAGCACTGAGATGTTAGGTTAGGTTAGATCGAAAAAATTTATCGTTTAACAGTTGGCAGCCCTACGAGATAGGCTGTGCAGCACTGCGCGTATATAAAATAAATTTGAAATCTATCTTCTAGCCTAACCATCTTCACGCGATCGACTTTATTTGAATTGCACGGCATCGCATCGGATTATGTTGCGGCGCCGATTTGTTCGAACGTAATTCGGGACATCGCGATGCTGTATAAGCGTCGAATGAGCACGAATTGTCACGCAAATATGATAAATCACATCTACTCACCGTTCACCGGCTGTTCCACAGGCCGCTCCACTCGCTCGCCTCGAGACGTCCAATTCCGATCTTTATGCGCACAAACTCACACGATATCATCAACGCGAACGCGCGACACTTTATTCGGCACTCCCGATATTCACTCGCATCCGATAATCATCATCAAGGGCGCAAATAACGCGACGCGACTTCGCTCCATCTTCGTGATCGCGCTATCACTGAACTGTGAAAAATAGCTGTCGCGCACTTTCACCGACATATTATGAAAGTCGCGCGATTATCCTTGGACACTTTCGACGCTCTTTCACTCGCGATATTCGTTTAAAAACGGTTAAAAGACGCGAAAAATGCGGACGTACGACGATCCGTGTAACTGCGTATGACTCCGATTCACGTATGACGCGTATGACGTAGCAGTGACGCGTATGACGTAGCGACACGCGCTAACATGGCGGCCGAACCAGTGCGCAGAAACGAATGCGCACTGGTTCGGCCGCCATGTTAGCGCGTGATCACTACGTCATACGCGTCATACGTGAATCGAAGTCATACGCAGTTACACGGATCGTCGTACGTCCGCATTTTTCGCGTCTTTTAACCATTTTTAAACGAATATCGCGAATGAAAGAGCGTCGAAAGTATCCAAGGATGATCGCGCGGCTTTCATAATATGTCGGTGAAAGTGGGCGACAGCTATTTTTCACAGTTCAGTGATAACGCGATCGCAAAGATGGAGCAAAGTCGCGTCGCGTTATTTGCGCCCTTGATGATGATTATCGGATGCGAGTGAATATCGGGAGTGCCGAATAAAGTGTCGCGCGTTCGCGTTGATGATATCGTGTGAGTTTGTGCGCATAAAGTTCGGAATTGGACGTCTCGAGGCGAGCGAGTGGAGCGGCCTGTGGAACAGCCGGTGAACGGTGAGTAGATGTGATTTATCATATTTGCGTGACAATTCGTGCTCATTCGACGCTTATACAGCATCGCGATGTCCCGAATTACGTTCGAACAAATCGGCGCCGCAACATAATCCGATGCGATGCCGTGCAATTCAAATAAAGTCGATCGCGTGAAGATGGTTAGGCTAGAAGATAGATTTCAAATTTATTTTATATACGCGCAGTGCTGCACAGCCTATCTCGTAGGGCTGCCAACTGTTAAACGATAAATTTTTTCGATCTAACCTAACCTAACATCTCAGTGCTTTGGATGTCGAATGTAAACGCAAGCGTATGCTGCCTGGATTTTATCATGCTTTCAAAAATAATATTTAATTATTTCATTAGTGTATTACATTTTATTATGTAGTATATTAATCGTATTAAATGTGCAGTTTTACACATTTTAATGAGAAGCATATAATTTGATTGGGTATAATTAGGTTAGATTAAATTAAAACAAGCTGCTGTGATTCATTTAACGTAATAGGATTAATTTGACGAATGTGCAGCTGTTGAAGTTACATGATATTTGTGGACACATTTTTAAAGTAATCATGAGTGTCTTATCTCATCTTGATTATATGAAATTAAAATATAAAATATTTATGTATTCCACATTAACGTTATTCATTACAAGTACTATATTACTTTTCTTATATCTCAATCATATTTCATCGATGAAGCTTTTCATATGTCGCAGACAATATGATACTGTGTGTGGAATTTTACACAGGTAATACATGGCACAAAAATAATTTGTTCTCAAGTATTGTGCGCATTTCTCAAAAATAAATCAAATTAAATTATTTTAAGTAGGATCCAAAAATCACTACATGCCAGGATCGTATCTTATTATAACTGCGATATTATCACCTTTTAATATGTGTGCGCAGTATTACATACATAAAATATATAAATTTATTTGAAACGTACGGAAATCTTTATCTTATTTATAATATTTATGATATAAAAAAAAATTGCAACTCTAATGAAACAGAGCGGTGGAATAATTGGTTGATACTTATTCTGGTCTACAATATTTATCCTTTTTTCATCATTAGATTTTTGGTGCTTTTTTTATTATACAGATGTTATCTGTAAATATAGTACTTGTAATGTTGCTTCTGTATCACTGTAAGCACACAAAGTGATAGCATTTGCAGGTAATTATATTATACTTATATATCATAAGAAAGAGAAAATAAAATTAAAGTTGAATACTGAATGTGCTCTAAAGTAAATGTCATCCAAATAAATAAATGCATAAATGTGCGCCCCACATTCCTCATGAAAAAAATACATAATATTAATTTTTATGTATTATTATTTTTAGATTTTTATTCTTTTAAATTCTCTAGATGCACTTTTCATTTCTCCTCTCTTTCTTTCCAACTACTAAATATAGATCTATCATTTTTAATATAGATCTGTCATTTTTAGTGTACATTATTGCAGTAAGTGGAATAAAGAGCAAATCTTTTGGCGCATTTAAAATGTACAGGAAAGTTTTATCTGATGCGTTTTTTTCAATAGAAATATCTGAAAAAAATGCATACGTCTTTTTTAATCTTAGTCTTTCTAAATAAAAATTAGAATAAATTTGCAAAATAATTTGCTTTAATATATTTTTATTGCAAATATATGAAGTAAAATGCTCAAGGTGCATCACTATGAAAACATCGATAGAATAAAAAATAGATCATATACGAAAAAATTATAAAAAATAGATCGTATACGAAAAAATTAAAATATTTACACTACATATTTGATATATTGATTTGTTTCATGATATATTGCAATAATTAAAGTATGATTACTGATATAATCTGCCATGAGACTACAGAGAAAGCCAGCTTTAATTCTTTATTTTGTTCAATATTTTTAATAATATAATAATTAAATTAAAGTTCTATGAAAATATGCTTGAAATGCTAAATAAAAAAGATTGTTTCTTATGTACAACCTTATAAAGTTTAAGTAAACAAAAAATCATTGTTAATAATATACATATATAAATTGATAATTAAATAAAACAATTAATTAATTAATCGACACAATCCACGTTTTTTTTTAGCTTTATGTCTAACATATATATATATATATATATATATATATATATATATATATATATATGTATATATATTTTTATAAATAAAAAATGTTTCTTTCTAATATAAATTAAATGAAAAGTATAATATGCCTTTAAATACTTTATATTCACACTTATTGCAATAAACCAATAAAGAATGCTTTTACATTCCTCCTTGAACTTTGGCATACATATCCTTTATGCCAATTATCTTACAACATGCTTTTATCATTGCATGATGACAAACAAATCCATTATCCTTCATGAATTTTCTTTACAAATATTTTTATATTCTCAAACTGTGTAAAGAAATCATGTAACACTGAAAAATACAAAGTGATATTAAAAGAGAAGAAATAAATTTTATATTATATAGTAGTATTGACAAGTATTTTCTTACCAGTGTGTTCCTTATATGTAGGAATATACATTAATCTTTGACCAGCCCTATTTTTAATCGTCTTTAGGGATGCTTTGACTTTTGATAATGCAAATCCAGCCAATCCATTTCCATTCCCAGTTACTATAAATGAATTGATTCTAGTCTTATGTGCTAAATTACTGGTCATACAAGTTATCATTTTGTTTTCCAAAATCCAGGTTTCAAAACGTTCAAATGTATCTGCAGAAAACAAAGATATTAATTATATAAGATTCTAATATTTAGAACTGAAACATCAAAAAAAAAAAAAAATTAATAATAGACATCGTATCACATGATTTTTGTATGTATGTAATTTAACCATTATAATCCAATAATAGCATAAATATTAACCTTTTCCAATAAGATCTGATTCAATGCTTCTGCCATCCATTGTAACACTCCTTCAACCACATTCCAATGGCGATAATTTTATTTGCATTGGCCTGGTCTGACTTTGTGGTAATTCCATTAGTTTTTGCTTTCTTTCAAGATTTACAAGCAGTTTTAGCTGTTGAATTAATTCTTTTCCTCTAAACACAGAAGTGTTCAGACCAGGAAATTGTATCGGAATTTTTTCCATGCCAATAATTTGCTCCTTATTTAGATCTCTCTTTTCACTACTCTTCTTGCTCTATCTCTGCGTCTTCCTGCATTACTGATACTTGTCACATCCTTTCATAATTCATCTTCAGGTCCTATAGAACAAAAGCACAGTGAAATACAAACTATTTTCTACTGTAAATATAAACTATTATCAAAATGCTATATCCATAAAAGTTCTATTTATTATTCGCAAAGAACATAGAGTTTCTCACATTATTTAATAAAGTGACTATTTTTAACAAATGTGAATGACTGACAAACAATAAATTAAACAATATTAAACAATAATATATACCTGAAAAAAATTTCATAATTTTATTAGAATTAAATTGATAAATTAATTTTAAATATATATTATATGTTAATTACATATAATGATTTAGAGACAATGATATATTTCATTTGCGTTACCATTGTTTACAGATTGAACATTTTTATCAAATTATTTACAACTCTACAAATATGTAGCATACGACAAGCCATTTTTTAAATCTATAAAACAAACAACAAAATTGTTCTTAGTTTTCACTCGGTTTTGTCATCTGCTTTTAGGCGATCTCTGAAAGCAATGCATCCTATAAACAAAAAAATTTAAACATGAACTACGTAGTCAAATCTACGAATGTTTTCAATGGGTAACATAATTTCGGATTGTATTCCATGCCTCGTACACGAAATGTCAATAACATAAGTAACGCAAAACGTTTGTATATATTAAATAAATTTGTAATATAAATAAGTTTTGTGATCTCTCTCTCTCTCTCTATCTATTTATCTATCTATCTATCTATCTATCTATCTATCAAGTATAATTATTAAAATATATTACCCGATATTATATTATATTATATATTAATCACACATTATCTATCACCACCATCGCCATTATTATATGTAATTTAATATATACTACCGTTTAATTAAAAAAATATTTGCCTCAATTAATTTCAATCAGAAAGAAGAATAAGAAACATCATAGATCACTTGGGTAATTCCTAAAGGCAATACGCCCTCTGAAATAAAAACGGACTTGAACTACGAAGCTAAATAATGAATGTTTTCAGTAGGTAACATTATTTTGGATTGGTCCGTCGGTAACACAAGTATCGATAATGCAAAACGCTAAATTTTTAATACAAATCTAAAGTTTTGGATGGTCTTTCTCTCCCTGTATTAATAATATAATTAATTATTAATAATATATTCCTTGATACAATATATTAATCACACATCATCCATCATCACCATCGCCACCGCCATTTTTACGTGATCTTTATCACAACGGTTCACCATTGAAAATAAATTATAACACAAAAAATATTCTAGTTTATTTTTAAATATTATTTTTAAATATTAAATAATATAAGTATTAAAATTAAAATAAAAAATTGGCTCAAATAATAATAATTAAAAATTAACTAAACAATTGATAACTAAGAACCAATAAAAAGCGCGATAACTAGAGCACAAGAAAATCCTTTCTCTTTTAATTATTAACATATTTCAAATTATTAGTATATTTCAAATTATTCGTCACAATACATACAATAAATACGAACGTTTCGGATTATCTTTTAATCTACCTTCAACGTGACATTAATATTATTACACATTCGAAAATATTAGACAATGACATATGAAAAATTATATAAATCATATGCAGATAGCATTTGTAATATCTGCATGCCGATTATGAAACGATTTATATAATTTCATATTTATTCATATTTATATAATTTTATATGTTATTGTCTAATATTTTTTAATGAGTAATATAATGCGCCGTTAAAATTCTTTTCTAGATGCGATCGCGATCAACACCGAAAATTATTTATTATAACTATATGATTAATTAACTTTTATAAATAACACATAATTAATATCTATATACAAATCGCGACAAAAATTATCTATCGCATTTAATCGTAATTTATTCATTTAATCAACTAAGAATTATAAGTAACAGAAATCTAAAATAATAAATTATTATTTCGATATGAAATCGATTTTTACGAGCAGAAATTATTTCTTTAGTATTTATAGATATTTATAGAGTCAAATACAATATATCTGCGATGCTTTATTTTTCAATCATTGAAATATTTTGAATTGTGAGAACGCACAATAAAATAATTGAATCATGAATCTAAACATAATGAAAGACTCCATACATCAATCTTTTAATAAATAATCCTATAATTAAAAAATCTATGTAATCTAAAATATTTTTATATACTTAAATATATTCCATATTATATATGTATATATTAAAATATTTCGATGACGAACAAACAATAACCGACCTTGGTGCCGTAATAGCACGCTAATGTTTATATGCTATAGTCTTGAAAAATGTTTCGATAAAAAAATAATAATAACACGGTCTTTCGGACTAACTTTTTCGGTTCTATTATTATTCGCACGTCGACACTCAAAGAGTAAAGTAGTGGTATACAAGACGCTCCGTTAAATCCTTTTCTAGACGCGATCGCGATCAATATCGAAAAATTATTTGCTGTATTTATTATATTATATTATAATATAAAATATAATATAATATAATATAATACAATATATTTCGATATGACGAACGAACAATAACACGGCGTTCGGCCTTGACGTAAACAATAGCGCGCTAGTCATACGGTCTTAGTATCATTCACAAAGCGACACTCAAGCAGTAAAGATCGTAGTGCGAAATATGTCGTATATTTTTATATGTTTATATGCCATAGTCTTGAAAAATGTTTCGGTACAAAAATAATAATAACACGGTCTTTTGGATTAATTTGTTCGGTTCTATTATCATTCGCGCGATGACACTCAAAGAGTAAAGTAGTAGTATAAGACGCTCCGTTAAATTCTTTTCTAGACGCGATCGCGATCAATATCAAAAAATTATTTGCTGTATTAAAATATGTAAAATATAATATAATATAATATAATATAATATAATATAATATGATATAATATAATAAAAATAAAATACGTATTGTTTACGCCAAGATTGATATTATTATCTGTTTGTCATCGAAATATCCTACGTACGTTAACATATTTATATTACCTTATATTGTAATATAAAATATAATACAATATATTTCGATATGACGAACGAACAATAACACGGCATTCGATCTTGACGTAAACAATAGCGTGCTAGTCGTACAACGTATGGCCTTCGTATCACTCATAAAGCGACACTCGAGCAATAAAGATCGTAGTGCGAAATACGTCGTATATTCTTAAATTAATTATTAATTAAACGATTATTGTATCGTGACTTTCAATTATATTAAACTTTCGACTATAATCGTATTAATATACATGTATTGCATATATATATATATATATATATATATATATATATATATATATCAATAATGAAAACAACAAATTCATTACGCATAATAATTAGTTTTACAAAATGAATTATTTTGAGTTTTATAAAGAAGATTTATAATTATATATCTATTAATTATATATTATATTATATATAAAATTATATATAATATAACCCTCCCACGGGGTACACCTTGTCGCGGTGGGAGGGCTTAGTACTTGGATGGTGCCTTGAAGTTTATTTTAAATTTTTTAATTTAGAATAAATCTCAAGGAGCCTGAAGAGGAAGCTAAGTACCCTTTCGCGTCGTCGGTGCCGTCAACGTGTCGCGGATGGCGGCGTTTCGTTACCGCGTTTTCGCGTTTAGCTTTTTCGCGTCATCGCGTCATCGCGTTTTCGCGTTGGACTTTCTCGCAATCCCAATTTCATTTATATGTCATCGAGTTGTCATCTTCCGACGTCAATTAACTGGGATGTTCATTGAGTCGTTGCTGCAACGATCTTTGTCTCACGCCTGGTGCAACGCGGCACTTAGGTGATGCCGGCGCGCATGCGGATGCCAGTACTGTGTATGTGGGCGCGCGATTTTGAGCTTTTGCTCAAAAGTCCGGCTGATTGAGGTCACGCTCTGCTTCTGGCTCCAGTTCGGTACGGATCGGTTAGGATTCGATCGATTGCTTGGAATCGTCGTTAATGGATCCCTTCTCTTGTTCCGTCTGAGATAGAATATTAGGCGCGGACAAGAGTCGAATGAACTCCATTCGCGTTGATTCCATCAATCGATAGTTTTCTTCCGTTTCGGACTTAATTCTTGTTCGGAGGTCAGATGCGTTGAATTCCCGACCTGTTGACTCGAAGATGACTCTTGTAAAAGTGAAACGGGATTTTCGCTCGTACCGAAACCGGGAGTGCCGTTTAAAGTATATATATATTAAATATATACATCGCGCGACAAAACATAAAATTTTTAATCGTATCGAATAGTGCGGGAGTGCCGTTCAGTATCGCGCGTAAAAGTGCGAAAATAGCGATATAAAAATATCGCACGTGAGTGCGGGAGTGCCGCTAAAAGTATCGCGCGATTAAGACTGAGAGGAGGAGGAGGCCTAGGAGAGGCCTCGAGCTTCGGCAGAGCAACCGTCTGGTAAATAGTTTATTTATTTGCAATTATATATATATATATATATATATATATGTATAAATTAAATATTGAATATATTTATTATAATTTAAATTAAGCAATTAATCGTAATTTGATTTTTTTATTCATATGATTTAAATATGAATTTTAAAGAAAAAGATTTTTATATAAAATTTATAATCTTGTAAAGGTTTTATAAAGTTATTCAAGAATTATTAATAATATTTTATTTTATTAATCTGCTATTATTATATGCGTCGGATATAAAATTCAATGCATACAATAATTTTTAAAATATTAATTATTTTGAACATTATTACAATTTAAATCTTCTATTTGTATGTTATAGATCGACGCAACAACCCAGATGATCTGAGAGGAGGAGCAGGCCTAGGAGAGGCATCCTGCACCAGCGGAACAACCTGATGGTGAATATTATTATTTATATTAATTGTATATAAATGAATTAATTAATTAATTTATTTGATTTATGTGAATGATTTAAACAAGAAAAAATTGGGAAAATTTTTGTAATATTTCTTTCTATATAATTCTTTCTAAAGGTTCTACTTGAAAAAATTAATTAATTATAAAATTATTTTATATTTATATATCTATTTATAATTGCGCACATCGGACATAAAATTCAATTAATCCAATAATAAATTTCTTAAAATATTAATTATTTTAAACATTGATGTAATTTGCATTTTATATTTGTATGTTACAGACAACGTAGCTTCAATATCAATTCCGCTGTTGCGCATCAGTGCCGGTAAGTGACAACGTTTTATTTTGAAGCAAAGGATTTATAAATGCATGAAGAAATCCATTGCTTCTAACTCTCCGTTGGCGGGACAATACGCGAGTAAAAATTAAAGTGAAAAAGTAAAGGAAAAATATTTTTAATAAAGATAGATGATATTTTTGTTGCAATTGTATGATGGACATACATGAAATATTCTAAAATTCTATTATATATCGGTCTCTATAAAAAACAATTTTATAAAAATCTAGGTTTTTTTAATCGATAAATATTTAATCTATAAAATAGAGATATTTCTAACCAATCTGCTAACCGAGAGTTAAAATGCATGCTTTTTATCTTTTAT